TCTCCTAATAATCAGTGATTTTCAACTAGTGTGATACTGCCCTCTAGGGGTAGTTGATAACATAGGAACTTTTTTATTTTTTGTCGTCATTCTGAAGAGGTAACGTTACCAGCACCCAGAGGCTAGGAACACTGCTAAACACTCTATAATGCAGAGGACAGCTCCCCACCATAACAAAAAGTATCTGACCATAGTGGTCAGTGATGCAAATATGATACAAATGATCTCTTTAAAATGTTAAGGCTTCAAATAAATCCATTTAATTTTGTCCCATCCCCACCTTCCTCTTCAGAATTTGCATTTCCAATCTAGATGTACCGAATCAGAATCTACATTTTTAACAAGACCGTGCAATTGATTCTTAGGTATGGCAGTTTTAAAACAACCCCAGAATGCTTTGACAAGCTTTCCACTTTAATTATTGGATTGAGAATGAATGTTGCACTGAAAATAATAATAACAACAATACCACTTTGATAAAAACCTTTATATAAGAGTGATTAGAAAACAACATGTGGTTTATGCTCACCGTGGCATGCTACTCAGTCATCAAAGAGAAATGAAGTCCGGATGCATGGCACAACATGAAATGAACTTTGAAAACATCAGGCTGAGTGAGAAATGCTAGTTGCCAAAGGACAAATGTTGTATGATCTCACTTATATAAAATAAATATTTATCCCCTCTTACTGCATTCAAACAGATGAGGGAGAGAGCTGTTTAAAAGGGATATAGGGTTAGGTATTATTTTCACGACAAGATTACAGAAAAAGAAATGCCTAGTAAAGTGGACTGTGGACTTGGGGGGTATTGTATAACAATGAAAGAATTCTTTTTCTTTTCAAACAGAAAAATGAACTGAGGGGGAGGGGTGGGCAGGGAGGAAAGTGTGCAACAATGAATGAATGGGGAAAAACTTAAATTGAAAGAATATACTTTAAAAATTTATGTTGCATTAAAAAACCATTAATAAAAAAATGTAACCCTCTCCAAAAAAAACCCCAAATATATTGAAAGCAGAGATTACTAGTGATTATCAGGAAAAGGATGAAAGAGAAGGGGGGGATATTTTTGCTTAGGAGGAATTGAATTTTTTTGTTTGTTTGTTTGCTTTCTATAATTATATTTTATTAATTTTCATAAACATTTACAGAGATTTTGGGCTTCACTCATTCATTGTTGCACTATTCTCTCTACCCTCCTCCCAGTTTGTTCTTGTCCAAATGCCACAGTGCTTGTCAAAGCCAGTTCTGATTAATCTTCTTTGTCAGTGT